TATAGTAATAATAACATTTTGATGTAATAATATAGTACTAATAACATTTTGATGTAATAATATAGTAATAATAACATTTTGATGTAATAATATAGCACTAATAACGTTTTGATGTAATAATATAGTAATAATAACATTTTGATGTGTGTCACAAAGTAGCACCTGCTTGTTATTATGAACCATTTTACGTACCTCGAATTTTGAATTGGCTTTACGGGGTTGTTTCGCAAATACGGGTTGGATTTTCGTTTGTAACCCAGGGACTGCCTGTACATTAAATTTGCAGGCATTCTACTAAAAAAAAAAAGGTCTCCCCCATTTATTCATTAAAGACTTGGATTCTTTTTTTCTTTCTTCCTCTTTTATTTTTTAAAATGCATTGACTCATTATTCTTTTTGATGCTCAAATTAAACCAGACTTGGCCAGCAAGAGCCCCTTCAAGCCATTTCCGATGTCCTTTTGCATGACCCCATTTCCGATGTCCTTTTGCATGGCCCCATTAGTCTTTGAGAATTTCTCACTTACCTTGTACATGCCCTGCCGTGGCCCTGCCATCGGCCACTTCTCTAAGGAGCCCTGGTTCCTGGGGGTGACACTGTTCAGTTATCAAGATCTAGACACCAGGTCTGCTCATTGCTACCCGGGTTGTCACTGGGCTTCTAGACACTTTCTTACGAATTTACTGATCATTCCAATTCATACTCACTATAGGAGTTTTTCCTTTGTTTTTAAATTTTTTTAAATATTTTATCTCTTTTATAGTGAAATTTTCATCCTTAATAACCGGAACACATTTATTTGCTTTATCCTACAATATATGTAGTTTCAGAATCACAGTGCCATATCACTATTAACAACAAACCTACTAAGTCAAGTTCAAGTATCCTTATCTTGTTTGTTCCTTCGTTTTGTCTAACTTTATATCCCACTAAGCATGCACAGTCAGAATGCTCTACTCAACCGTTATTTGAAAACAGGAACTCAGACCAATACTTGCACAAAAGGTCAATGTACAAAAGGTCACACACTGTATGATTCCGTTTGTAGAAACATCCGGCTAGGTAAACCCATAGAGACAGAGGGCCGACTGGTGGCTGCCACGAGCAGGCAGGAGGGCAGAATGGGGAGAAACTGCTTAACAGGTAGGAGGTTTCATTTTGAGGTGACGAAAATGTTTTGGGGCTAGATAGAGGTAATGGTTATACGACATTGTGAATATAATGAAAGGTTCGCTTTAAAATGGTTAATTTTTATCTTATGTGAATTTCACCTCAATAAAAACAAAAAAGTTACTTGAATTCTTTCCTCTTATTCTGTTGCCAATTTGACAAGTTACTTTGTTTCTGTTTAATTCCATTTTAAAGTTTACAGAAAACATTTCTACTGTTCGAGGTCAAAACTACATGAAAAGTTACAATGAGAAGTTCTGTTCCCATCCTCAGCCAGGCACATATGTATTCATTTTCATTAATTTCTGGTTTATTTCCCCTTCTTTCTTGCACAAAATTAAACTATCACATACACTTGTGTGGGGAACGTGTATCTACACAGGCCGCACGGGCACAGGCTCCAACCACGGTTAACCTGTCCTGGCAAAACCTTTGTGATGCTCCTGAACCAGGACGAGGGCAAACCTGGAGGAGCTGCCTTGAACCATGGCCCACTCACCTTCCCAGGTCTCCTGGAGGCCGTTAGGAGGTAGTTTCTCATCCTTTCCTGGGTTCTGATGACACTGCCCACCCCACCCCTCAGAAATGAGAATGTAAAACCACTCACTGCCGTCTTGGGTTAGCTCCTTAGCAAGGGGACACCCCACAACTCACGTTACAGTCGTCCGGTCCCCCTTTTTTCTCGGTGTGGTCTCTGGTGCGAGACAGGACTAGGGAGCGGGCACCTTCTCTGCTCTGCAGTGGCTCACTGCCTCCTCACCAGCCGAGTCGGTCAGGCCTCGGCCTTGCCTTGTGTGTTTCGTGACTTACTTGCTCGTTTCACTTAACAAAACGTACCAGCAATCACACCATTTCAGTGCTGAGTGGCCTTCCCCATTCTTTTTACAGCTCCATACTACAGCTGGGTACCATGGTGTACTCAACGAGTCTCATGCAGAAGGACATTTGGATTCTTCCAAGCAGCCTTCTTTTAGGACTTTGGGCAAGAGCTTCAAGGATGGCTTTGTGGAAATGCTAAGTCCTGTCATAGCAAGAGGACCTAAACTACAACCTAATTGACTTCTTCTTAAATCCACCACTTACCCATTTCCCTTGGTCTAGCACCTTCTGAGACAAGCAGGAAGCAGCCGCCGCTACCTTAGAAGGGTGATAATGCACCATGTCGTAGTCAATGAGAGTCAGCTCCATCAAGTATTTGGCTAAAGTGTGCTGTTCAACATCAACCTATGGGAGAACGGCCAGGGGCAGTAAGAATCACAACTGTTACTACCATCTTGCAAAATTCTGGGTGAAGGTCTAGGAAGTCAAATCCACTTAACCGCCTTATTCCTCACAAGAACAGCTCTACTGCACAGCGTATTACAGACACAGAGCGTGAGGTCTTTTCTCTGAGGAAGTGAAGAGACAAGTATTAGGACCTGTCTACGGGATGCTTCCTGTGAGTTCATAAGCTTCCCTTCAATTAAGTACATGCAGGGACAAGACATCAAACCAGCAAAATAAAGTCTTACCACAAAGTTGGAAGCACTTACCTCCCCAGCTTTCGATGCTCGTCTCAAGAAGTGTAGGGGCAAGGGTCGACCCAACTCAAATTTCAATTCTTTCAAAATGAGAGTTTCCATTTCTCGGATTTGGGAACTGGTATAAGCATTGTCTGTGATATAAACGAAGTCTTCAATATTTGGAGAAAACATCTCCTCATACTTGGAAGCCAAAAGCAGAGCCGTAATCCCAACCAGCTGAAGCTTCTTACGAGAGACTGGATGAGTCTAATGGGAGCAAAAAAGATGTCAAAGGCCACATCTAACAAGAGGGGTGGTTCTTTGTGGGGGAGCACAGTGAGAAGGAACCAAGTCCTGGAGAACTGCACATTGCCAGCTCACACCTCTCTTCAGGGCAAGAGACCTGAATATTAATAGTGAGTGCCTCCACCTGTCCAGGCAACTGTCCTTCACTGAGTACCACGTGCCAGGCACAGTGCTAAGACTCTAAGACGTTAGCCCATCAAATGCTCACAAAAACCCTAGGAAGTACATATCTTTATTCTACGAAGAGATTCAAAAGCCAGCCATGATCACTCAGTTATTGGGCAGGGAAGACGAGGCATGGATCCAAGCCTGACAGACAAGCTCCCAGTCACTGCCCATCCCCCATCACCCTGACATGAGTGTCTGTTGTTTGACTGAGGCTTTGCTTTTCTTGCTCCACTCTCATTATTGAAAATCTACCTTAAATATTACTGTGGCACACTGGTTAAGAGCTTGGCTGTTAACCAAAAGGTCAGCAGTTCAAAGCTACCAGCCGCTCCTTGGAAACCCTATGGGGCAGTTCTACTCTGTCCTATAGAGTCACTATGAGTCGGAATCGACTCGACGGCAGTGGGTTTGGTTTGGTTTTTATCATGCCCAATGAGGGTTATATGCTGAAAACCACTGAACTGACAATTATTTGGGGTTTTGCAGTACCTCAGAGTCATTATTTTAAATTATGATATTACTATACTGTTTGGGCAGAATCTGTACTTAACCTGAACCCAGATCATGAATGCTGATCTTCAATAAGTCCTCATCAGCAGGGCTGTTGCTGGGTGGGTCACGCACTGGTGGGTCACGTACCGGTGGGTCATGTGTGGCCATTCTCCAGGCTGGGTAGTGTCTTGCCGTCACAGTTCAGGGGTATTTTGAAGACCACTCTGCCTCTCGGCTCATTTTCTCACATTCCTCTTTACCCCGTGCCTCACAGCCTCACTGCACTACACACACACTTTCTCTCATTTATTTATTTAACTCTGCTCCTCCCTCTTACTTCTATAGCTATCCAGTGCCAGAGCTGGCTGGAACCTTTGAGGCTTTCTAGCCATACTCCTCATTTTCCAGGTGAGAAAACTTAACCCCACAGAGTACCAAACTCTAGAAACTGCAAGCAGGCCTGGAAAGCCAGGGTCCAAAGGCAGTGCATGCTTCAGACTGCCTTGCAGCCCGTCCGATGGTATGCTGCCTTTGTCTGACAAATGGCAGTGGCAAGATGTGGCAGTAACCCCACCACCGCCCGCTGCCCAGGCCTTTCCAGCAGGTGGCATTTACAGAAATACCCAGCATCGTCAGCCTCACTAACGATCAGGCCTGACACGCTTGCACTACCTCCCTTTATGGCACCTGAAGTCCTTGGGCTTCTTACACAGTGGCTTTGGGTCTTTCTCCAGATGAACCCCACCTCAGCTCTCCATCCCCAGAGCAGAAAGGCAGTGTTTGATGAGCCGCTGGCGAGAAGTTCCTCAAGCCCCGCCTACCTGTAAAAAGCGGTCCATGACGGCAATGCACATGTACAGCGTTTCCTGCAGCAGCCTGAACTTGGAGTGGACTTGCACCAGCCAGTCCACCAGGATGGCGCGCATGCGTCCGTTGAGATCACTCCCGTCCAGAAAACGCGGGCTTATGGATTGCAGAACCTGTCGGTGGAGTTAAAAATTTTAAAAGCTGAGCTCATTCTCTTTCCAACTGTGCGGTAAACTCCACATTGCTGGTGCAAGCAAAACACAGGCCCACTCACCTCAAGCTGCCTTAGATACTGATAGATGTCCTTAACGTAGTCACTGCAGAGCTGAGGGTTCTCCCAATCTTCATTATCAATATCCTCGATTTTGCAGAGCAAGGCATCAGAGAAAGCTTGGCACAGATTCTCTTCCTTCATGGAGACGTCCTCAGGTGGGGGAGGCGGGCCCTGTGCCAACACAGTGACACCTGTATGACTACTACCCCCGAAGTAGCCTCACTCACAAATATGTATGGAGGCAGCTGGCTTACAGATCAGGATCCCCTGCATGTTTTAAATATGTTACAGCCAGAACACATTTCAGATAAAAGGTAAAATACTTCAAGATAGAGTAGATGAAGTTTTAAAGAAACAGTCCTGTTTAGAACCCTCTAATTTCACTCTAAGAGCCCTGGGGGGCACAAACGGTTAAGCACTCAACTACTAGTTGAAACACTGGCAGTTCCAAGTCACCCAGAGGCGCCTCCGAAGACAGGCCTGGCAGTCTGCTTCCGAAAGGTCACACCTTGGAAACCCCATGGAGCAGTTCTCCTCGGCACGCATGGGGTCACCATGAGCCGGAATCAACTCAGGGGCAAGTAACAACTTTAAATAGAAACCTGAGTCCTCACCATGGCCTGCAGGCCCTGCGTGGTCTGGTCCCTCCGCCCTCCTCCCCCTCTGAACCACCTCCTACTCACCTCCCCTTCGCTCCTCCACGCCATCCTCCGGGGCTTCCGCCGCCCTCGCGGGGCGGCCGCCTCTGCAGGAACGCTCTTGCCCCCGCACCCACAGGGTCACACCGTCACTACCTTCAAGTCTGGCTTAAATGTTACCTTTCCAGTGAGGTCTATCCCGACTGCTTATTTAAAATCACAAGCTGGCGCCAGTCCCACTGCCCTCCCATACACATGTCTAATCTCTTACTGTACTTTTTCCTGTAGAATATATAACCCTCTAAAATACTATGGAGCCCTGGCGGCGCAGTGGTTAAAGAGCTCGGCTGCTAACGAAAAGTTCGGCAGTTCAAATCCACCAGCTGCTCCTTGGAAACCTTATGGGTCAGTTCTACTCTGTTCTGTCGGATCACTGTGAGTTGGAATCGACTTGATGGCAACGGTTTTTGGTTTTTTTTTTAACTATACTACAGAATTTACTTATGTATTATGTGTACTGTTTATTTTCTATCTGCCTCTGATAGAATGTAAGCTCCTAAATGAACATGTATCGTCCTTGGTTTGCCCACTAAGCTATCTCCAACACCTGTTACTCCCCGACCAGAGCAGGGGCTCAGTAAACACCCAGTGACTGAGAGACACTTAACCCTCTGGGTCCAGAGGTTTCTCAGACAGCTGGTTCTCTTCAGCAGGTGTCTCTTCTGCGGCAGAATGTTTTCTCCTTGTCAACTAATTGATCTAAACCGAGAAACTGGCAGCAAAGAAGCCGAAACGCACACTCCGCTCTATGACTGAAACAGGAGGAGGAAGCCAAGGCTGAGCGAGTATACAACCCAGTATTTTATTTCCTTATGCTTACTGGGTGACTATAAAAGTCACACGAATTAGAAATTCATAAGTCAGTTAAAAAGAGTATTCAGTACTGAAGTATAAATAAAGCATTACTCTTAAAAAGAAGTCCAAGTACTTCTCAAAGGGAATCTAACAGGACTGCTAGGCTGTCAAGAATAGGGACTAAGGTAATCAAATACAAAATCAAAGAGAAGGCTGCACAATAAAACATACAAACAACTTAAATCTACATCAAAGCTCAGGGATCACGGATCCCAATGTTAGGGGAGGATAAAACAAAACAAAATTTAAAAACCAGCAGCTCAAAACACGATCTTCCCCCTGAAATCAGTGGTCTTAAACTGACAGAGGGCCAGGTGAGCACAGGTATGCAGGCCATTTAGTGAACCTGGAGAACTTCGGGGGGCTGGAATCAGCAAGGAAAGCTCTATGGGGAAACTGGAGAGAAACCCTGGACAAGGCGCCCAGAGAGGCTGAGGCGCCCGGAGAGGCTGAGGCCTGGACAAGGGGGAGCAGACTAAAGGAAGCCCTGCCAAGTGCCAGAGGTAGCAAAGCAATACAGGCAGCTGGGAGAAGTGATTTCGTCTGGTGGCAGCATAGCACGTGAGGTGTGAAAAGGTGGGCTGGAAAAGCGAGCAAGAACCTCACTAAAGAGTCTGGACTTTATCCGAAGGTAAAGGGAAACCACTGAAGGAACTTAGAGTGAACAGGATCAGATGGAATGGATTTAGCAAGCGCGAACGAAATCAAATGCGCATGGTAAGAAGCTGACCGAGTTTCAGCTTAAGGATACCTTTTTCAAGGATAAGCATCAGCCCCCTCCCCAGGGAGGCCAGCCCCAGGAAGCCTGGTCTAAGGAGGCAGAGACTATGGGCAGGCCTGTGGAAAAGCTCCTTCCAGCTTCCAGCTGAGAAGCTGATGAGCGTTCCGCTGGAAAGTGAGCCTCAGTGTAGCCGTATCCCAAAGCCTCAGCATGAGACAAGGTCACGCACCCTGGCTCTTAACCTGCAAGTTCATGGAAGCAATTTCTTTTGGACTCTGACATAACTGCCCCGTTAGAAGACTCTAAGGTTCTGCTTGTCTGCTCGGGTAGTTCCCAGACGCTTGGGCCAACCATGCAGTTCCCTGTCCGGTGCCTGCTGCGTGAAGGTTAAAAACTGCACCAGCTGGTTAACCAGTACCAGCCTTTTTTTTTGGTGGTGAAAATATGCGTAATAAAACATGTGCCATCTCAACAATTTCTGTGTCTACAATTCACCGTCATAAACTTTTGAAGGACAAAAGTGGTCCGAAAATGAAAACCTTCAAGCTAGGTTAACAAATGAGCAGTATGGGTTATGGGGGAAAGGAAAAAGCCAGGGCAGAGACAACGAGGGGGTGAGATTTTGCCTGGCTCCGGAGGCTCCTGCTGGGTGAGGAGCTGGGTGGAGCCTGAGGAAAGGCTACTGAAGTTCTTCTAGCACCCCCATCACTGACTGAGCTGGGGCCATTGAGAGGAAGGATCTATAAAGTATTAATATGCAAACATACAGAAAGTGACATGAGCTTTGATAAAACAAGAGTTCCTTCATGTACTAAATTTATGATAGATTAACAATGTCAATTAAGTGCAACAGGAAGGGACAGAAAGAAAAACTGGATTCCATGACAATTCATTATTTGTAATAAGTGTGTACACATGGACATATTGTTTAGTTGCCATGGAGTTGGTGCCGACTCATGGTGACCCCAAGTACAACAGAACAAAGATAGACAGACAGATACAGAGGCACACACAAATCTAGAAAGGTCCCAGTGGTCACAGGATGAGCTTTAGGGAATGGAGGGGAAGGGAATTAGGGAGGAGAAGGGCAGTAAAACGAACAGACACATTGTTCTGTGCACTCTGCACTTCTGTATAGCTCTGTGTTATGACTGTATTTCTTATGTAATTAAAAATAAAAATCACTTTTATTTTAATGAGAAGAGTTGTGTTTCTCTTTTATATACAGTTTTTGCATGAGGGAAAGTTAGGCCATAGAACATTCTTGTACTTGAATAATGACTATCATCGAATTTGGTGTTTAAATCAAATCTATAAACCTCAAAATTCATCAGGACTTCGGCAGCTACTCCCCAGCACATCTCTAGGCTCATGTCTATCTCTGTAAGGGCGTGTTATAACTCATTCTTTTACTCCTTCAGTCCATGACTGGGAGCTATCTGAAGGCGGAGTGGGTGGTTTACTCAGCTTGTTTTCCCAGAGCCCAGCAAACAAGTGGTCAATGAAAAGCCTCTTCTTCCTTTCCAAACACTCATTCATGAGTCAGCAAAAACTTGTTTTCTTCAATAAGTGCAGGAAATCAGCTGCTGGGAATCACCGTAAATGGCTGGGACTCCTTCAGGGTCTCAGCCAGGGCCATTGGTGATGCAGTTTCTTCGTCCTCTACGAAGAAAGGGTAGTTAGAAGCCTGGGAACACCTGCTTTCATGGATACGCAGCTCATGTCACAAGCTTTCCAGAGCTTAATGTTGTTGCAAACTGCTGTGCTCAACGGGCATTTCCACTCGGCTGTGAAGGAGCAGTGACGACCGCAGATAGCTGTTGGTGGTGCCGTTGAGTCGGTTTTGACTCATGGTGACCCCGTGTGACAGCGCAGAACAGCCCCACAGAGCTTTCTGGGCTGTAATCTTTACGGAAGCTGACTGCAGGGTCTTTCTCCGGCAAAGCAGCTGGGTGAGTTGCTACTGCCAACCTTCAGGTTAGCAGCTGAGCTCTTACTCCTTGCTTTCTGCAAACAGAACAGGTGACAATACAAAAGCCAGCGGGCTCACCTCAGCGACCAGCAGAAAGGCAAGCAGAGGGGCCCACCTGCCAGGAGGGGGTGCTACCTAAGTCTCTTCTGTACTGTGTTCCTCAGGGAGAAGTGTATTTGAATTGAAAATAATTGTTGTTCCTTAACCCGTGTTGTCTTCTACAACTTAGAGTATCCAGTGAAGTGATTTTCATAAGAACTGAGTTAAAAAAAAAAAAAAAAAAGACAGTGGCCATCGACTAGACTCTTGCTCATAGTAACCCTACAGGACAGAGTAGAACTACCCTGTACGGTTTCCAAGGCTGTAATCTTTACAGAAGCAGACTGCCACATCTTTATCCCACAGAGCAGCTGGTGGGTTTCAACCGCAGACCTTTTAGTTAGCAGCTGAGTGCTTAACACTTGTACCACCAGGGCTGAGTTACGCGTCATAATTCTTTCCCTGAAACATTGTGGCCTCAGTCATGAGTCAAACATGAGGTTGGATCTGTTTTGTCAGGAAGCTAGAGAAAGAGGACTTGGACAAGGAGACGCGGAGCAGAGGGAGAGAGAGGAGTAGGCCGGGGAGACACGGAGTAGAGGGAGGGAGAGGGGCACACCCTGTTTTTCAGTAATTTATTCCTTAAATGGTTTCTTAAATATACAAGTGCTTACGGGCCTCGCTCTGACACCCCAAGCAACCTATCTAGATTATTCCTTCTAAATACATAGGGTGATGTCCCTGAAAGGGGTGTTGTTCTTAGCACCCGTGTACCTCAGACCCAGGGAGACTCACCTGGGGAGGCCGGGTTAGTTGAGACTCTCATGGACTCCTGTGTGGGCGTCTGCTCGCCTCCTCCTTCCCACCCCTTCTGTGGCTGCTCTACGTGGCTTTCGTTTCTCCCCCTCCCAAAACTTGTCCCTGGTTCCTCACTGCCTGTCTCAGCTATCTCGTGCTGCTGTAACAGAAATACCACAGGAGGGTAGCTTTAACCAACAGAAATCTATTTTCTCACAGTTCAGGAGGCTAGAAGTCCGAATTCAGGGTGCTGGCTCTAGGGGAAGGCTTTCTCTCTCTGCTGGCTCTGGGGGAAGGTCCCTGTCTCTCTTTTCCTTGGCATCTTGGTGATCTTCATGAGGTGTGGCATCTATCTTCCCCCATATCCTTTGCTTTTCCACCCTAATCTGCTCTTTATATATCTCAAAGGTGATGACTGGCTTGAAACACACCCTACACTGTTATGCCCTATTAACATAACAAAGAAAACCCGGCCCCAAATGGGATGATAGCCACAGATTAGGGTTAGGGTTTACAACAGGTATTTTTGGAGGACATAATTCAATCCACAACACTGCCTAACAGGATAAAATCCAAATTCCAAGGCCCTCAAGTCCAACTGTAATCTTCTTGCCAACTTTATCTTCTGCTTCCTCACACAGACCTTCTGACCCAAATCAGACCTGCCGCCTCCTTGCCCAAAGGACATAATACAGGCCTATTTCCACTTTGGTGCCTTTATTCTCATTGCTGCTTTGTTCCCCCCAAAAAGACACCCTTTCCTATCAGCTTCTCCCTATCCTTAAAATCCCACTTATACCGTGACACTCCCTGACCACTCTGTCCCCCTGTGCTCTCTCCCTCCTGTAGGTACACTTTCCATAGGACAGCGCTTACGTCTGCCCAGTTGTTTGACATTCATCCACATGCTGCCAAGAGGCATCGAGCATCATTCTCTAGGATCACTAATTCAATTTCCAGGTATACATGCCCCTTCTAGGAAAGTCTCCTGAGGGCAAGATATCTCTTACTCAGCCTAGACATCACTGGATACATATAGTAAGTGCTCAGTATATTTACTTCCTAAATATATCCCAATGTTTCCTATTGGAAATTTTCAAACATACTAATATATGTATATTTTTGAGCTGGAAAGAGTGAAGTAGCTGTTGTTGTACTCTCAGGCACCTGCACCACTGCATGTCTCATAGGAACTGCAGAGGCTTTTCTGACTGAGTGCATGCATGAGCTTGAACATGGTGGAAGGGGAGGTAACCAGTCAGAGACTGCAATGTATCAGCACAGAACTCTGGCATTACCTTGTTCTTACGTGAGTTTGGGTCTCAGACTTGTGAGCTTCCAAAGTCTTTGCAGGCAAGTTCATCCTTAGAGTGGATTATTTTAATAAAGCCCACCAAACTGCACTCTGAGACACTAAATTTACTTGGATATGAAGGTAATTAACTTTGCTACTCAAGATTATAACATTAAATTAAGGTGCCACCACTAAAATGTACACGCATCCATTTCCTACACTTTTGCTTCAAAGTAGAGTGTTCTTCAAAAGTTACAGTAGGGGGACCTCATACCATCAAGAAAGCAGTGCCAGGAGCAGAGCGTGTCCTTTGGACAGGGGTCCCTGCGCCAAGAAGCTCCTAGTCCAGGGGAACACTGAAGAGAAGGCTGACAGAGTGGAAAAGCCTTCCCCTGGAGCTGACACCCTGAAATTGGACTTTTAGCCTACTTTGACCTCAATGGCGCTGTGAGTAGGGTCTGAAGCTACGAATCCAGTCAACTTCGAAGAGACCTGGACTGCGGAGCAGAAGCCGGCAAAGAAATGTCCTGTCTTCTGGACCCATGTGTTCCCACTCCATGTCCCTTCGACACTGACGGGTTTTGTCATCTGCAGATGAGTTTTTACTTTGCTGATTTGCTGAAAAAGTTTGACCAAAATATCTCAACAAAAGATGGACTATGTTGGACTTGCTAAAAGGACTGTGACTGGACTGAATAAAATTTCCAGAACTCCTATGCAGAAGCTGATGGGTTCACAGACTGCGGCTGATCCAGAATCACGTGGAACAGAAATTAACTACATAAGACTGAGTAAACTAAAGGAAACTATGGTTTTTTTT